GATAGATAGATAGATAGATAGATAGATAGATGATAGATAGATAGATTAGATAGATTAGATAGATAAATAGATGATAGATAGATGATAGATAGATAGATAGATAGATAGATAGATAGATAGATGATAGATAGATAGATAGATAGATGATAGATACGATAGATGATAGATAAGATAGATGATACATAAGATAGATCAGATAGATAGAAGATAGATAGATAGATAGATAGATAGATAGATAGATGATAGATAGATAGATAGATAGATAGATAGATAGATAGATAGATAGATAGATGATAGATAAGATAGATGATACATAAGATAGATCAGATAGATAGAAGATAGATAGATAGATAGATAGATAGATAGATAGATAGATAGATAGATAGATAGATAGATAGATGATAGATAGAAAGAAAACTATATTTTAGAAGCCTAAAAGGAGATGCGCATGTGTGTGTGTGTGTGTAAATAAAAACTATTTTTAGAAGCCTAAAGGGGATGCATATCCTTGCCTGCAAAGAGACGCTGATAATGTTCTGAATAATGTCTCTCTGAACAAACCAGCTGTCCATCCTTCTTTCTCCCTTGAGGAAACAACCTTTTATTAACCCCCGGAGAGCGAGAGACACTGTGCATCCAGTGTCCTTCTCAGGTCACAAAACAATTAGGTTGCACCATGCAATATGAACCGTGGAGGACCTAAAGCCATTCAGAAAGTCGTTGCAAACCGAGGCGAGGCGTTTAAAGAGCAGGGCAGTGCTTTTGTGGGTCTCGGTTTCTGTTGTGTGTGCAGCAGTGGCAAAATATCCTTCCCCCGGTCACTGCCGAGTTGAACCTCCCTTTCCACAATACACCTAACCAGCATTTAAACATGGCCATTTGCCCTACAGGTAAGTCAGGTGGGATTCAAAAATTTTAACAACCGGTTCTGTGGGTGTGGCTTAGGTGGTGGGCGTGGCTTGGTGGTCATGTGACTGGGTGGGCATGGCTTGGTGGTCATGTTATTGGCTGGGCGTGGCCAACTCAATATCACTCACATCAAGGCATGCATCTCCTCGCCTGGCCTCTCATGACTGGGGATGCTGCAACAGTCGTAAGTGTGAAAAATGGGCATAAGTCACTTTTTTCAGTGCCATTGTAACTTTGAATGGTCAC